CATATGTTAATAAAAACCTAATGTTTTCACATTTTAATATACAATTAATCTAACATATAGTCATCGATTTACAATTATACTAAAAATTTACAAAAGTGTCATCTTTCAAAAAAGTTGATGAACATTACACAAAGCATATTATACCCTTAGATCAAATCCAATGATGAACAAAAACCCCTTTTGTGGTCACAAAGGTTCACCCGCGATGACTCCGGGCTACTCACAAAGCATGTCGGAACCTCGGCTCTATAGGAGGCCAAAAAAAATTACGTTACACAAAAAATTGTGTTCTTACCACGTTATTTGGGCGTCAAGCTTTACACAGCTGCCTAGGTTGTTTTCGGGATATATACACTACGCCTCGACACAATGACGCATTATTTAGAACTCTGATTATTAACTAAAAAAATTAATTTTCCTTTTAATTATTTTTTATTACGGAATACAAATTTATTAGCTACAATTATTCATCACCGCCCTCCAAATTACTTATCACATTAAAGGGCTTTTTGACAACATTTAAATCATTCAGATGTGTGAATGATTTAGTAGCTCTATACAGGGACGGTTCCACTATGGTGCCCATAGTGGCACCGGCAACCCCTTATTTTTTCGGATACAGTGTAAAAAATTTCGAATTTTTCGTTTTTCTATATTTGTGCCACTACGTAAAAGGAAAAATGTGTCACCGGCAACACCTACTACGAAATCCTGGGTCCGTCCCTGGCTCTATATATATGCCTCTTAATAAATAAATAAAAAACATAATGTTTATTTAGCTATTTGAATTGTTGTATTGTATGATAAAATGACTATTTTATCTTTATGAACTATTGTTTTTTCTAAATGAAATGTTCATATTTTATAAAATATCTTAAACAAATTGTTGAATAATTATAAAAATGATTTCACATCATAAGAAATCCAAATTAAACACTGTTGTTTCATGCCAAAACATGATTACAAAAGCCAAACAATATCATGTTCAAAGATAACTTGTGTGATCAATTTGGTATGGATATTTTTTTCTACATGCCACTCTATTAAACACCAATCTAATATACCTAAGCTAATCATCCCCATTAGTAAATTATTACTTACATTGTTTTCTGAAAAAATAATTTTTTTTCAGAGATTTTTTTCTACACACCATTCTATTAAACACCAATCTAATATATCTAAGCTAATCATTTTTTTCTCTTTCTTTTATATATATATATATATAT